TATTGCTTTTGGAATGCCAAATCTGGTGATGATGTTTCTCCATATGAAATTCTTGACGTCCACATCTCGGATTTTGGCAAGAGGTTCTGCTTCTATCCACTTCGTGAAGTAATCTGTTGCTACCAGCAAGTATTTCCTTTGCCCAATTGCTTGGGGCAACTGCCCAATGAGATCCATGCCCCATTGGGCAAATGGCCATGGACTGGATACAGGGTTCAGATCAGCAGCTGGCTGGTGTATCAAAGGTGCGAACCTTTGGCATTGTTCACACTTCTTCACGTAGGTTTCTGCATCTTATTGCATATAGGGCCACCAATACCCCTGGGTAATGGCCCTGTGAGCTGCCCCCAGCATGGCTTCCACAGATCCCTTCATGAATTTCATATAGAAAATCTTCAACCTGCAAAGGGTGTACGTACCTTAAAAGGGGTCCAGTGAAGGACCTTCTGTAGAGATGTCCGCACAAAGTAAGCGAGAACTGACCCCAGACATTGTGAAGGCTGCATTATATGGTCCTGCTTCAGCTAAAATTCCTGCTCCCCAGATAAATTTTGCAGCCACACCTGCTGCATCAAGTCCTATGCCAGGTACACCTGTCCCACAGTTGAGTGGTACCACCCTAATGCCTTCCCAAAATATTGGTGTCAGAGGGCCACAGGTATCTGCAAATCCAAGCATGGGCCAACAGTTTTTTCCTCCTCAGCAAAATCACCTGGGAAAACCACCTCGACCCATGCCTCCTAGTACTGCATTTCACCCGCAGCAGGGTGTTCCAAGTCAAGGAATGTCTGGTGTAGGTACTATGACAGCTCCTCCTTCAAGTACAAACATCTCCACTGGTTGGGTTGGTGGAAGGACAGGTGGCCCCCCTGCAGGAGTGGCTCAAATTCCTAACAGTGGGATTACTCCATCCATAACTCAGGATGGATTTGGGATGGCAGCACCAGGTATGACAACCTCACAACCTAGACCGCATGCAACCACTGGGTTGATGCCTCCTGCTGCACCAAAACCACATGACCCAACTTTGCCGTCCTCCCAGGTGGGAGCTGAGGATTCTAAAGCACTGGCTGTTTCAGAAAATGGGTTTGCATCTGACTCTGTTTTTGGAGATGTATTTTCTGTAACCTCGTCTCAACCAACACAAGATTCATCAGCACCTGAATCTTCTGCCAGCAACTTGCCTGTTTCATCAGCTATTGTTCCAACATCTACTGGATCTCAATCTACAGCTAGGCCAAGCCCACTTGGATCCTTACAAACTGCATTTTCTCAGCAATCTGTGGGCAGTCAGCCCCAGCAAGTGCAGCCAACTGTCAAAGGAATCCAACAAGCTTCTGTGCAGAGTTCGACAGCCTTCAGTTCTGCTAGTGCTGGTTTTCCAGTTGGAGCTGGAAATTCTGCTTCTGACCAATCCCAGATTCCATGGCCAAGGATGACTCAGTCTGATGTTCAGAAGTACACCAAAGTATTTGTGGAAGTAGACATAGATAGAGATGGAAAAGTAACTGGTGAACAGGCACGCAACCTGTTCTTAAGTTGGAGGCTGCCACGAGGTAGGACATGCTTCATTTTAAATCAATATTTGAATTTTATACACCTCTCTCTCTCTCTCACACACACATGTTGATCTAATGCTTCTGCTATATTAGTAGTGAAAATATAGTTTGAGGCAAATTAGCAAAGTGCAATAGATGTTTCATGTATGCATGGAGGCTACTGGCTGTTGGCACAATTGCTTGCAACCGATGATCACATTTTTAATTCTATACAGATTGTCTGAACTTAAATTACATTATTACATAAAATGCGATATTCTACTCTCTGCTTCAGATTTATGATTCTATAAAATGGTGATAAGGCCAACTATGTCTTTTTTATGAGAAACAACATATTTAAGAAGATATGTAGAAGCTAGAGGGGAATATTGAGATCGGTGAGTGGGGTTATAATAGAGATAGAACAAGAGATCAATGCATTCACTGGAAGCTAGAACTAGTGCATATTGAAGATAAATTCAGGTAGTTGTTTGGGATGGTTTGGCCTTGTCCAATGTAGACCAATTGACACACACTTTGTAAGAGTGGCTTAATCTATTTGAAGATGCTAAAGGACGTAAGGAAGTCCAAAAAGAATAGATGCTAAGGCTATCCGAAATGACATAATTGCCTCGGACCTTTAAGCAAGGATATGGTGAGTGGTGAAAATGAATCTTCATTGCCAACTCAAATAATTGGATTTAAGGCATGTTGAGTTTAGTTGAACTCTATGTTCATGATTGGATGGAGATTGATGGGTGCGACATATAAGAGTATCATACAATTTAATTCTTGGAGCTTTATGCACTCATGATGACCATGCTAGCATGCCAAATGTAATTTTCTGCTAATGAATCATGGTAGCATTGTGCCCTCTATAAGTTGTTTGGCAGTGGTTGTTAGATATCACCATTCAGGTGTAATTGAACTGCTGAGTATTATGACGGACGCTCCATTTTAGTCATTGTGGTTGTATCTGAGAACATGCATTTTTCAGTCTGTATTTCAGAATTTGGGTTGTTTCTGTAGTGATTATAGCTTAAGCTAATAAAGGTCCAGTTGGAAAAAGCTTTGGCAATCAAAAGTCAAATGCTATGAAGATTAGTTTTGTGTCTTTGATAGAAGTCAGTATTCTGGTCAGAATGCAGTTTTAAGCCACAGGTCATTATATAGAAAAAATTTCATGAGATCTGAAAATAGGATTTTGGATATTGTTGAAGTCTAAGCGTGGAACTAATGGGTTGTATAAGGATTTTTATGTCACTTTTGGTTCAATTGTTTGGCTTAATGTCAGTCACTTGGCAATTGGTATAGAATAAAGTGCCCCTTGATATCTGGACAACGTCATATTTTGTTTGTTCTTTTTGGTACGCGTAAGAATTTTATTACAAAATTTAACATTAGACTTGTGTGAATCCCCTTAAACTCATACCAGGGAGCAAGTGCACTTTGAATATTTTTCATATTTTTGTTTTTACTATTTTTTTCAAAGGCAGCAGCTAAATTTCTTGATAACGTTGTGTTTGTTGCTGGTATTCTTGGTGTGTCAGAGGTCTTGAAGCAGGTTTGGGACTTATCTGATCAAGATAATGATAGCATGCTTTCTTTGAGAGAATTCTGTATTGCGGTGTATTTGATGGAACGGTATAGGGAAGGCCGCCCTCTTCCTAGAACACTTCCAAGTGGTATTATGTTTAATGAGACACTATTGCCTGCCTCTGGCCAACCTGCTGCAGCTTATGGCAGTGCAACTTGGAGACCTACCCCTGGTACATATTTTTTTCATGACTCTTTCAGTTCCTGATATCGTGTACTTATTTGTTTATTTCTTCTATCATCTTTGTGAATAGGTTTGCAACAGGCTCAAGTGATGCCTGGTGCACAGCCAGCTACTCCTGCTGGTAGAGCAAGACCACCAAATCAAGCTTCTGTTCCTCTGCCAGATGAAGCCATGCAGCCTACTCTGCAGAAGTCCAAAGTTCCAGTTCTGGAGAAGCATCTTCTGAACCAGCTAAGTGAAGAGGAGCAGAATTCACTTAACTCAAAGTTCCAAGAGGCAACTGAGGCAAATAAAAAGGTGCCTTCTGTTTCTTTTGTTTACTAATTGTGCTTTTTTCATCATGCATTCAAGGCTTTGGCTTCGTACTTGGATTCCTTTTTGATAGAACGATAAATGTCATTGTATATCAAAATCAAGCAGCAAGTATTATGGTATTTATATGTTTATATAGATATGCATTCTCTGTTAGTGTGCTAGAACTTTTCTGCACTACTTGGAGAAATTAGTTGCTGGACGTCTCTCTTTCCTCATTGGTGTGTTACAGGAAAACAGCTCTGGATTAGCCGCACTTGCTCATCTGTTGTAATCTGGAATCCCAATTTTTGATAAGTTTAAGGTTGTTACAACAGTCACATGAGAATGTAAAAAGGTGGTTATTCCAGGATGGGTCTTGGAAAATAAGTGGCTTTCTATGTTTTCTGTCGTTTGCTGGAGTATGCCATCCTAGTTAACTATCAAAACACATTTTGGGATTACTAAGGTGGATTACTGATGAAGATGTG